AATTGCGCTCGATTTTATCCCGCTTACACGCTACGATATCGAATCACGACAAAGAGACTTTCAATTAGCGCCAATTACTTTCGCGTTCCGTTGTAATCGGTTAATTTGTCTGCAATTAGTTGCTCGACATTTTTTACGCTATGAAAAAGTAATACTCGTTTGTTAACGCTTTTGCGCACGTTAATGCTACGTTTTTGAATAGATTAGGCCACTTTTATCATTTTATCAATCTGTAAGAATCATTACATAAATTATTACGATTATATAAATGGGGTTACGCTGAAACAGAGATGATATATTTCTAAAAATACAATACATAATTTCAATTAACGAAATTGTACAATTAAATTGATAGGATCGAATGAGCGAGATACACAAATAGAAATTACATGTACGATATCGAGACTTTAAATTGGCGGTTGAAATTCGAAATCTTCGAAATCCCCGAATAAACATCATAACGAGCGATTGCGTAAAGCAATAGTTCAAATATCCGCTTGCTTTTAATAAATGTACGTTGTCGTTTTTTTTATCATTTTTCAATATTTTATAACAACTTACATGTATGCACTTTAACGGCTTATATTTCTATCCGCAGGTAAAATCACAAGTCCGATCTTTACGCATCAATGCAAATATGCAAATATGAGAGAGAGGCACGATCCATTTTATTTATATAATCCGACGTAATTTTCCCATCCAACTCTTGTTACACACAATTTCATCACGACCTTTATCGTCTTCGTCCGGCCTGGCCTCTTGAGCCTTTCATATCCCTTCCTTTCTGCATATTGCACCCCCTACACACCATCCACCCCATTCCTCCCTTCACCTTCTCACCTTTTCCTCGTGTCGTCCTGCTCGTACCATCGCCGCACCGCAGGATCGTAAAAGGCCGGAATTTCTGTTCAAACATCTGCAAAGCCGCGCTCCGGGGCATCTGAGCTCCTCTAAAGCTTCATACAAATTCATGACGAAGCGCCAGGACTGTGAGCGCGCGCGCGCGCACCACACTATCCTCCAAGTTTTCGGCAGGGTGGGATAGAGTAGGTACATATGTATGCACATGCATACGTATCTCCACCTGGTATAGTTCGTAATATTATTTAATACCCTTTTGGGCGCGTCCCACGCGTTCTCTAGCTCCGGAGATCGTGACGCGGTAAAATTTCATGGATTAGTCTCGACGTTTTGTTAATAAACGTGTCGCATCACCCATCCGCTTCCGGCCAAGAGCTGGTCCACTAGAGTCGGTCGATGATTATAATTGTGCAAACTAGGTAATGTGTAAGGTAGACGCGAAATGAAAATTGAGTTATTTATGTAATTATACAATTATATTGTATAATTTTATATTTTATATATGTTTTAAAATATATTTATTTATTTATTATATTACATATTTATTTATTTATTTATTAATATATATATTTTTTTTAAATGTTTGTAATCAAAATCTTGGAATGTTTTGTAGGACGAATAAGATATAGCAGGTCTTCTCAGAGAGAGGTGCAAATTTTACCTTTCGTTTCTCATATTTATACGTCTATTATTTTCGTGACGAAGTACAGCGAGAAATAACAGTATCGATAACGCGATAGATATTTTAACTTCGCTATCATACATATTGCAAATTGTCCATTACATTTTATCAGGATACAACCGCGCGCATTCAAAGTGTTCCTTTACTGTTCATTTTTATTATTAATGTTTTCTTTGACGGTTTTGTCACATACACGATGTATATTATTATTTTACAGAACCGGATGGATTTCTGTTTTCGTCGCGCATCAAAAAATATTTTTCATATACTTCCAATAATTAATATCGTGGCAAAAGTCCATGTATATTTGCGCCGTTTTTTACCTTTTTGCCTCTGTAGGCGAGCTTTTATACGGCCGAGTGAAAGTTTCGCTGCGAATCGTCCTTAAAAATAACTATCAGTGTTTGCTCAATCCGATGTATCGATTTGCATCCGAGCTTTGAGGTACCCGCTATCTAAATATTCCCGGGCTCTCGTCGAAGAACGACGGAATACATTAATATCGGATGAGTTGATGGCGAAATGAACTTGTATCGAGAGGACCGATGCCGCCACGATCAAAAACTCATTGCAAATATTTTATCCGACATATTGCATCCGGGGTAGCTAAAAAAGGCCTGCTTGAGGCACATCAATCGATAGTCGATCAATGTTCTATTTTAAATCTCTGCACATGTTGAAGCAAAAAAATCATCATCGGAATTTCGTATATCGCTCGTTTGCATTTATCCTTATTTATTTTTCATTTTCCGTACAATGTTACAATTGTTGGATTAATAAATTTATGCCGTGTCTCTTTCCATAGCAGTTTTCCTCCTATAATAATCGCGTAATACGCAATCGTTCTTTCCAGGTTTGCGGATTTTAATGCGATGATAATCTTCAGAAATAAATGTATCCAATTATCCGAAATTAATTATTCAAAGTGAACACGTTATTATGCAGCTTTAAAATTAGAATTATTTTCATGCCGCGATAATTTTGATACTGATTAAAAGTCGAAAAGGGAAAGAATTATTTTCTGAGAAATTCACGGTAATGAAACGTTACTCGGAAACAAAATTAAAATCATCAATTTTTCCCACTTTATTATATCTATCCGAATTCTGCACAGTTTATCTTTTCGATTAAACATCAGACGTCGTGTTAATTGAAGCGATTAAACGAAGACGAAGCGGCTGCCGAATAGATCGATCGAGGTAATACATGATTTTTTTTTCAAGACTTGCGTCGATACATTTTTCCGCTTTTACGCGCGCGGATATCCGGCGACCGACGAGCAGATTTTGCAGGCGGTTTATCGCTTGGTGTTATCACGTCACTCGGTATCCGTTGTCTCTTTCCAGGTCCGGATTTCGCGCGTTCTCTCAATTATTCGCGCCGATCGATCGATCGGCCTGCGCCTTGCCCTGCCAATCGACGACATCGCGTACCGTGTCCACTTTCCATGAGTAAAACGCGTAGCACGACAGAGCTGGCAGGGCATGTGTCTCGTGAAAGAAACATCGCCGCCCGCTTTAATGGCCGGAGGTCGGTTAATCGCGACTAGGAGACAAGCAAAGCCGGAGTAAACCGGGCCAAAGATTTATGAACGTCACTTTGGGACGAGCGTATCGCAGTCGCCAATCGCGGACGGTTCGAAGCTCCTTTATAGCTCGCGTTTGTTTCGATATCGTTAATTGTCATTATGGGGACGCGCTAAGCCCCTTAGGATTGACACAGATTGCTCTTCCGCGATAGCGAGACTCAGGATCGCTCGACGAGTGAGAAACGCGCGGTTTTACCTGCTAATGCTTGGTTTACAATTATATACGAGACGTGAAATTTATATGTAACGTTGTGAAAAATTTAACGCGATTTAAGGTGCTAGATAGAGATGTGTAATGCTTGTTCCCTTTGCTTTTCTTCGCTACTTCTCGGCTAAATCATATTGGACCGAAGATTTATAAGCGGCAGAAAGTACTCTCGGAAAGAGGTGAATATCACGTCTAAATAACGAGAAGAAATTCTTTTTCTTTCTGTCGGATTCCCAGCGAAAAACTTGTTTCTCAGTCCATCGAATTTCGTTCTCCCATCCATCGCATTATCGGCCAGTAATTTATTACCGAAAGTAATCTATTTCGAGATACGCGATCTATACAGACCGCGTATGTTTCACTACGTAACGTGATCAGAGATTCGGGGAGAGATAGAAAACTTTATTATACGCGAAATATCATTAGTTTACTTCAAGGTTTATCCATTAGCGGATACATCGATGGAATACAAGTATTAAAAATATTGATCTTGGAATTTGTCGATTATACACATCAATTTTATTAATGTGCACTAAATTAAAATATAATCATTATATATATTATAATATTCATCATATTACATGTGAAATATTCATTAATATTCATTAACAAAATTTTTTTTATCTCATTCTCGTCGGTTTTGCCGATGAAATCTTTTAAAGCATTAAAAATTTGTATCATTTGCATTAGTTGTGCATAACTAATTCAACGCGGTTGCATCAAGGTAAATTGTTTTTATTGACGTTTCTCATAATGATAGTTTGATACCGTCAATTTCTCGTCACGATGTGACGATTGTTTTGCTCCTTCTCTCTCTTCTTTCTTCGATTAACTCTCGTACCAGTTGTTTCTCCGTAATAAAAGAATAGCAGGTTCGTGGTTGATGCAACGTAGACACGAAGCTGATACATCCATCCTCACTGAAAATCCTGATCACGCGAGTCACTTCTAATACCTGTACGTCGTCGTGAATCATTCGCGACTGTCGCATGGCGATTTTGTAGAAACTTGGATTAACGAAAAAGATTTTAATGGTAAAAAAATCCTAATGGCATCGAATAAGTTGGACGAAAATAAGAGGGTATTAACTTCCGCTACGTCTCCTTCTTTCTCGTCTCGTGACTCTCTTATAATTTTACTATAATTTTACTTTAAAAATACAAGTTTCGCTGCAAACTTTCACAATATAAACCAACCTAGATGTCTACGGGTATAAATCAGGCTGCAATAAAAACGTATATTCGGGGCTCTTGTAACTTTACTACTTTGCCATGGCGTAAAGTTCCCTTATTGGATCGATACATCTGGCATAACACGTGATTTATTATAATCATGATCTTTACAGCAATCGCTTCGCACAAGTTGAATTTTTTACATCTGCGTTACAGCTTCTATTCGTTGTAAACAATTTGATTTCCGCGTGCGTGATATACGTGGGTGCGTTCCACATGTTCTAAATTTTAGCTCCATACTTGAAAGCGATTTCCGTATAAATTATAAATTTAGTTTCGCAAATCTAAACGTATAATTATTATTTGCATAATCGTTCGACTTTCGAAATGGCGAGGATGAAACACAATTCCGAGTAAAGGTGTAAAGGACCGCAGTTGGGCGAATTATATTTGCGACCGGGCTGAATCAATTCCCGCTTCTGGTTTCAGTGACCATGTATGATGGCGAGCAATTAAACTTGACGCGGATCACGCGCAGCGAAATGGGCGCTTATCTCTGCATCGCGACCAACGGCGTGCCGCCCACAGTCAGCAAGAGGATCACCGTGGATGTCGAATGTGAGTTTGTTACAAACACACCCCGCACATTATTATCCCGTTTGCACGTAACGAATATGGGAGATACGTACGCGTCCGTCGAGCGAATGGCACGCTGCCAGCAATATGACGGGTGCAACGTGACGCGATAATTATAATGTTACGACGTTACACGCCCAATGTTCAGCAATAGACGCTTAACGATGTGGATATTCGAGTCATGAATTTAACCAAAACACGCATTCACGAAACGCTACAAAATAGCGAAATATTATCCTGTCAATATCAAGTTTGACGAACAAATAGCATTGCAATTTAAACGTCAAAATTATATAATAGATATTGTATATTTTGATACAATAATCTCCGCGTCTAGATTGTATCTATTACATCTATAGATTATTATTACACACAATGGAGAAAACGATATAAAGAGGGATAGTATGATAATGATGTATGAAAATGAAACGTAACACGCTGCGCAGACGTTACAACTTCTAATTACCGTAATTAATTATGTTAATTGGTCGCGGCAGACATTATTATGATTGCGAGCGCCAAATGTTCGCGAAATATCTTCATTTCCCGCGCTCGTTCTCGCGCGCGTAAAATGTCGCGAATAGCGAAATGCATGCACACGTGGCAGGCGCAAACTTTCCCGGAGGAAAATTAGGCGTCCTCGTCTGGAACGCGTCCAACGGCGATTTATCGAATGAATTTTAAACGCTTTGTCATACACCGCCCCCGCCGAGCCTGCCGCCTCCGGGATCCTTCTCGCCCGTGTATTTCGTGTATCGTTTAAATTTCATTTCACGAATTGAACACGCGACACGGACACACGTAAACACACCTGCGCTGCATGCACAGCGGCGCACGTGCTGCGCTCCGAATACGTGCATCAGACAACAAGAGGAGGGGCACGAGGGGGGAACGAGGGCAGGAGGATGGATCGGAGGGAGGAAAACCCGAGGGAAATACCGGAAGCCGCGCGCAAGCCGTCCCGTCGGTCCCGGTCATTTTTCCCTTTTATGAGTTTCATTCGTTCGTGTCACTTCGTATGCTTGCAACCGGCTGCCGTTGCACGTCGGTGTGATGTGCGTGCGCGCGGGACCCGGCCTTGTTGAGGAAAGAAGGAACGGTATCCACCCCGACGGTATCTTCTGAATATTTAGGGAGGCGGGGGACATATTTTATTTAGACGAGCGGGGCGAGACATCGGTTTTCCGCGCGCGGGTGCCCCGCGTTCCGGGTCAAAGCGGATGCTCGAGGAGTCGTTCTCGAATGTATACCTCATGTGTGGATATGTACGTAGGGATTTGCGGTATATACCATCGGCCTGTAACAATTTAAACGCATATAATTAGATTCGGAGCCGCGGGGAATTCCTCGAAGCTGATCGACGATGGAATTCTTTCGCTTTCCCACCTGTGTGTGTGTGTCTCGGAGGATCGATAATCCGCCGCAATTTTTTGCCCCCTTTCTCTCCTAATCAGCGTTATACATATGCATATACTTGCAATAATCTTTTATCGTATTAATGTTTTAACCGTTGTGCGTGATGTACGTTGCTTGATGTATTATTCTGGCGTCTATTAATTATAACGACGATGACTGATTTTACGTACGCTTTTTCAAAGTACTTTTATAATTTGTACGCGCATACTTTATTTCTAATTCATGATTATTATTGCAATTAATAAGCAAATTTGCAAGTATTTTATGTAATTATAAATGAAAAGTAGAGCATATATGTCAAGTTAAGACATATCTGTAGTATTAATATTAAAAAATTAATTATGCATTCAGAGACGTAATTTCTCTCTCTCTCTCTTTCTTTCTTTCTCGAATTAATTAAACTATATTAAGGGAAAATGCACGTATCATTTATATTTAAAACAGATTCTTTTGCACATGTAAAAGTTTTTTTTTTTACATTTTATTATTTCTATATTCAATGTGTATCTCTTATTATTCTTCCATTTTAAATTTAATGAAATATCATTAACATAAATAGCACTGCAACAAATGTTTTTTCTTATCCATGTATCCATAATTTAAAATTAAAGATCAAAAATCATTTCTTTATGATTTTGCTGAAGAGTTAATAACGAATGAACAGATTTTCAATGCATATATAAATGTGGTGCATCATTATTTTATACAATTTAATTTTAACGAATTATTCAATCGGAATATTCTGTTATTTATTTTGATCCTAACATTAATATATATTTTAGAAATTTTTGTTCTTCGACAATTTATATAAATTCTCGATAAAAAAATTGAACTTTAAGTTTTCGTTTAATGGTACAAGTCGAGCAAATATTTGAACATAATTTCGTTCATTATATCGTAAAGAGTGTTTTGTATTTTGCAATTTTTTCAGGAGAATTTAAAAAGAATGATGAACCTTGATGCTTTTCTCATGTACGATAAAAAGAAAAATTGAAAGAATATTCAATCAATGTAAAATGTCAAGGTTTTCTTCCGGAATTAGAGACTTAACAATCGTTTTTGGCAAAATACACCGTAAATTCTCTCCAAAGAGACACTACATAAATTCCAGCCAATCAAACAGTAGTATAATACTCGTTGTGTTATTGTCTTTGCGATGGAATAAATCGACATAATGCAGCAACATAATGAGAAGTAACAAAGTGAATTTACATGTCTATGCATATTGGTATCCTCGTATGCTTTAATAATGTACATAATGCAAATCATTATTACATAGTGATTTATTAATCCAGTTACACAATACGGAAATGAAGTTTGCGTAAAACAATAAAATTCCGGTCTCTGATTTCGGCAATCGCTTTGTTAATCGCTGATAATAATTCAGACCAATTTCAGTTAGAGAGGGAGAAGTTTGCCCGAAAAATTGAGCAAAAATTACAATTTTGACAGCCTCGGGGAGCAACCTGTGTAACTCAATCTAACGACGAAATCGTGACGTTGACATAACAATCTCTGCACTTTCACTCATAATCAGGCCGGCTATGCATATCCGGTTCGTATATCGCGTTTTCGGTATGTTTGTCGTTGCAATGCGGGCAAAATGGGACCATTGCATAAAGCATAACGAGCGGCGGGAGGAGAAAACGCGTGGGGACATAATTCGGTTGACGTGCGCGCGTTTTCATGTACCGTCTCGGCAAGTGGTTAGCACGGCCAGGTTCATCAGGCATGTTGATGAGACATGCACAATTTAGCGGGTTGACTTTTTACGTTACACTGCCTACGTTTTCGCGCTCCGCCTACGTTTGCGCTCAAATACACGCAACGATTCACGCACTTGTTACTCCGCGAGCGTTTACAACACGAACCACGTCCACCCTCTCCTCCGCTGCAAAGTACGATACTCTTTTTCAAATTGGTCGCATAATGACGCACGAGGATGACGCGGCTGAATTACGACGAGATTTTTGCGATGAGAGCGTAATCGACGGCGTGCTATTTATGTTGAGTACTAGAGACAGGCATTCAAGCTGCGGAAGATGATAATGAGAAATTGCAGGATGTGCACTCTTGTTCTTGTTTAAAGGACAAAAGAAATTTTCAAGTAATAATGTAATTTCATTTTTGAAAATATTCTGATAATCTTAATAAAAAAATATGAAATAAATAAAACTCGTTAAATCTATTCGGGATTTTTTGAATAAATTGGACAAAATTCGACAAGTTTCGATTTTTATTATCGCTTTAATATTTCTTATGGTATAAGATACAATTATATCTTCTAAAACAGACTTCAGGGAATTTTTTAATAATTTTATCATATATAAAATGATTAAATTTATGCATAAATATTATAGGAAATCAGTTTTCATAAATGGAAAAAGAATTGATGTACCAAAAAATAATATCGACTAGCTTTGCAATAATTTTTAGTGATAAAAATATATAGACTCGCATGTTTGTGTACTTTGCTAGTCATGCCTGAAACATATGTCTCTTCTTTTTTACATAATCGATAATAGAAAAAAGTATCTGTCGGAATGACAAGTAAACGGCATGCACGATGAACGATACACATTCGTAGAGTCATGATCACCTGACCATGGTTGTGCATCAGCGTGTTCCGTGGCGCGCATCCTGGCTTACCACAAATCCACAAATTGCCAGCGTTAACTTTAATTAATGCACACTTCTCCCTATTTCCTACCATCGATTACGTCTATATCTGCCGCAATTCAGACACAACTGCGTTACATTTCTATCCCCCTTTCTCTCTCTACTTCTTTATTTTACATTGTGTAGACGGAGAGAATGATAAACCAGGAGTTTTTTTAATTGAAAACCTCATATTTTATTAAAACATTTTTTTTATCTATTTGTACATCAAGTATTGTAAATATTTGACTTTTATCGCACAACATCTACGTGATTAATGGAAATATCTCCCTCTTTCCCTCTCTCAAAAATTGCTGCGTACACCTGACCAAAGTGCAGAGAGGGAAAAAAATTAAAATGAAATAAAGAAATAAAAAAAAAAGGTGCACGATATCATTGGAACGTATGCCGTATGATTCTCCTCGTTAGAGAATATAACGAGCTCTCGGTACCCGGTGTCGTTTTACATCGCTGCCCATCTATACAAGCGCATTATTATTCTCTTATTGTATCGCGCAACTCGCCGGAGTTTGCAACTTTAATTTAACCCGTTACTAAAAGCGCGTACTCGTCGCAAACGTCACGGTGCATCCGACGTCGGGATTAATTCGAAACGAAGAAGCAGTCGTTTCTGGTTTAGTCGCCGAGTTAGAAAATTGTTCGTCCGGGATATAGCGCGGCCTCCTCCGCTGCAGGAGAAACAGACGGAGAGGGAAAAGACGGAGCGCGCGTCGCGCGACCTTAACTCTTCATTGCCTGAACCTTAACGCCGCGACGTTAGACTTGTAACCATAATAGACTTTGTTCCCCAACTCGTTTCGCCGACCGCCATTTTGCGGAACATCGTCCCAAGTCGCGAGTACAAACTTGATTCGTATCTGCATTATGGGGGGGAAAAACTTGATATTACTACTAGTTGCGCCGCTGCATGCAGTTTTTAATTTCATTGCTTTGCGAATGAATATTGCGGATAATAAGCTGGCCGTTCAATCTCCCTTCCTTTTCGAAGACTTTGGAATAGTTGCTAAAGACAATTTTTTTTGCATGCATTGTATAAAAAATTTTTTTATATCGCATATTTCAGAAGCACTTATGTGTGTGTTTTTTTTAAAAAAGCTACGTGTTTTTCTGGCGTACAATTTGTTTTTTTTACCTACAAATAACAGTTTATATTTCGCAAAATTAAACTTTGCACGTTTCAACATATTCGAATATATAACACGGCAAGTTTGGATAGCGCGATGCTCTCTTTTATTTCAATAAATATAACAAAATTATTTATATTGAATTTATGTAACAAGTGATATGAAAAAAAATTTATGACGATATTAAAATATAATAAATTTTCGTTAAATGTGTTTTAGTTTCGCCAATGATCTTCGTGCCGAATCAGCTGGTTGGTGCGCCAACCGGCACTAATGTAACGATCGACTGTCACACGGAAGCTTATCCACGTGCCATGAGCTACTGGTTTCTAGGAGATGAGATGATTCTCTCTAATGAGAAATACACCACTAATATCATGGAGAACAGCTATCGGGCGCACATGAGACTCACCATCAGGAACCTGACAGCGAATGACTTTGGTAGCTACCGGTGCATTAGCAAAAACTCGCTGGGCGAGACCGAGGGATCCATCAGATTGTACCGTAAGCTGACATGCATTTTTTAACGTTTTTGTTCGCGGACAAACAATTTTTTCCCCCGATTGTTATCGCCTATCGCGATACATTTGTTCTGTACCGGGATATTAAATGTATAGCGCGACGCGAATAATTTAAAAGCGAAACGATCTTCCATAAATCGCGAGTTCTCGAGCCCTGTGTTTAATTTCGCCCCGAGTCGAAGATTTATTTAAAGCCGACTGGATGCGTTAACGGTTAAATCGCCGAGGAAATGTCTGCCATCCCTCCGTTATATCTCGTCGTTCTCGTAATCCTCGTCGCTTCGAGATAAGATGACCGTCCCGCTTAAAATATGAATGAGGCGGAGAGTTTTCGCGAGCCAAATTTATTGGCCGATATTTAACAAGTTATGCGACGTCATTAAAGTCCAATGATTTTTATTTCAGCTATCCCGAAACCGTCGGTGGCACCGAAGGCGACCGAGATCAAGAGTAGCGCCAACAAAGAAGGTGAGAACCTTATTGAATATATGTATATATAAGTATATATATATTCCAACCTTGTACGAAGAGAAATCGATCACCGACGTTTTCTTTAGAGACACATGATTCATATTTTATATCCAAATCGTAGAATTTTAAAATGCTTTTTCTAGCGTACTTTATCGAGCGATGAAACGATGGCGCGTTCTCTCATTCGAGGAAAATAACTCTTATCGGGACAATAAAATTATCTAAATGTCATTACGGGAATGATAATTTTATTTAAACATTACTGGTAATTTTTAATTTGCTAAAATCATTTATTTTATCGCACAATGGAAGCTTGAATAGAGGTAGCGAGGAACTGTTACATCAATCAAACGATTTGAGGAGCTAAGGAATGTTGCCCGGGGCAAATTGCTCTCGCATCACGTCCGAATCAAGTACAAGCTTTCCGGAGTTGGTCCTTGCATTAGGCTCGCAGAGTCCTCACATTGGCGCGTCGGTGTATTATTAAAGCGAGGGCGAATAACTTGGGCGGATGCCTAGGTCAGGTCCCTACGGTTCTCCTGCCTTCGTGTTCTCCGACCTCCTCTCTTCCTCGCGAAACCAATCTCAATATACTGCATTATTAACGCCATACAAGGCTTGGCCACGACGGTACTACCGCCATTAAGCTCTGCAATTTTACCGAACCGTTACTCCGGCTGCCGGCCGCTACGTGGATTATCGTTATTCCGAAACGTCCGGGGGGAGAGTTAACCGTTCTAATGAATAATCGTTATTCTCGCGTGAGTTTTCGCGAGCGGCCGCGCAAGTCTCCTCCGATATCGATGTCGCCAACGGGTGAATTTTCCCGCTACCCGACGATCGTAAAAGCCAGGGGGGATCGTAACCGAAATTTACGAGCGTCGGAGGCGCGCAAGTCCGATGCACGATTTCTTCGAGAAATCCTCCATTCGAGGAATGCGAGGGGGGGAAAGTTTCGGAGGGATGGAAAAGGGGCGAAGGAGAGTAAACGCGAGTCGTACGTGCGAATAATGGTAATCGGGAAGCTTCCCTTTTCGATGAAGACGTTTTCCGTGCGCGGAAACCCGACGTATCCATTCTGCCGTTTTACTAATGCAATTTAGCCGCATTAACGACTCGTCGTGGATGCACATACTCGGCGGGCGGAACGAGACAGCGCATCTTCACTATAATGTATGGCCTCGACTGCTGATTAAATATTGCGAGAAACTTTGGCGAAATCGGCAAGGGACGCGTCGCGTTCGTCTCTCCCTTCATCTATCTATCTATCTCTCTCTCTCTCTCCTTTCGCACGCGCGTCTCCGAATCAATCTTAATACTACGGGGTTATTAATGACCTAGCCGAGGTATGCAATAACTCACGAACACGACATTAAGCGCCTAGCAGTTTCCAATGGGACTGCCGCTCGTCTTATCTGCCCAGATAAGATTACGCCATTTACGGAACGATCTGCGATTCTAAATGCAAGTTGCATGCGACGACAAATCAAGAGTCATTCTGGGGGAGGCGATGCGGAGAGTTTGATTGAATGAAGAATATAATTCCGTATAGGAGAAACGGTAGATGCGGTAAAAATATTCGAATTCTCACGAGTTCTCTGCTTGATAGAAGCTTGTCGCAGTTTCCATGCAACTTGTATGCATATAATCGTTATTATATTTATTCGGCTAAATATGACGTATAATATCTGATTAATGTGATTTTAATTTGTGTGCCGAGATTTCCATCACGTTCGTGTGATAACCAAGAATTATCCTTTTAGCTTTCCTCAATCAAGAAAAGACAGATACTTTTAACTTAATTTTATATATTATTATATATCTTATATATTAATTTTATATATATCATAATATTAATGTGATTTATTTACTAGTGACCTAATTAAATGCATTTAAAGTTAAATTAATAATGTTATTGCGAAATGTCAGGAGATCCAGAATGTTGTCGTTGGCATGTGTGTTACATTAATAAATAGTATTACTGTTTTGCAAAGAGAAAGTCGCAAAATTATGTGAAGAATCTAATTTTCGAAGAAGCTTTTTTTGAATAGTCTATTATAAATACTCCAATACTTTTTATTTTTAATTTTATCGGTTTTTTATCTTTAATAACGAATCCATTTGAGTGATATTTTTAGTATATCATCTTTTCCTAAAATAACACATGTAAGAAATTATGTAATAATATTTGCAAAATTCGTATTATAAAATACGAGCTTCTTAAATTGATACGCAAAATATTCTTATTTATATATTAGAAGAATAAATAATGATGATTTTTAAATATGTATGCAAATATTATTTTTACAATTTTATTATCAAATTTATATTCATATATTGAGTAACGTATGCTAGTAGTCTGCGTTTTTTTTCGATACATAAGAAAGGGTACAGAAATTCCTTTCTTTATTTTTATCAGATTCCTTGACACACTTTACTATTAATTAATAATGATACATCTGCACCATAATAATGTAACCTTGCTTGAATATCAAATCGAAATACAAAATTATTGGATCGTATAAGTGAATCTTATTAAAATAGATCGGCTTTAACGAGAAAATGGGCAGAAAAGGAGCAATTTAATAATTCCTACATCTGTACTAATCTCCTTGCAAGATAGCTATCGATTCTCTTGGTTATAATTAATTGAAAATCGATAACGAAGCCAAAATTATTTCTGGCATTAAACTATATGCCACACTGCGCATTCTGGAATCTAATATCTGATACGAGAGATATCATTGTAGATAAAAAGATGATCATTAAAGTGTTACTTAATTTAAGGATTTAAAGAAAAATGTGTCAAATTATATGCTCCATTTTATAAATACGATTTTAAATTTAAAATGTACATACTTATACAAATTATATTAAATTTCGTATTCGGTAAGGAATGACATAATTATATTGCAAATTGCTAAATATAAATCAAACTTTAGTTAAAATTTGAATTATATATTACTTATATATTTGTCAGTATATTAGTTCTAAGTAGTTGAAAAAATTTTAATTATCTGTGGTTGAAATTTCTTTTTTCGGTTTTATATTAAAAAGTTATGGAATATTTATTCAATTGACAGAATCAGTTTACTTATTTCAATAAATCATACTTTATCAAGCGAGCATACAAAGTTTTAATTGAGAAACTCGGCTTGATACTATTTCTACAACCATTGTAAAAATAAGTGTCGTTTATTTTTTCCCAAAACATGTCTAGTAAAATGCAGGATAGAATGCCCTTTGATAAATCAAAGGATCAAAAATATTAATAAATTCATTTCGCTACTTTACTTCTCTCACAGCCGCGTTTGCGAATTTATTTCCCCGTCTTCTTCGCTCGTGCTTTCTTTCTCTTTCTCTCTTTCTCTCTCCTCGCCTTTTCTCTTTGTCTTCTCGAAACAAATTCTTCTTGCTGTTCGCCGCGGCACTTTGGAAAAGGTGCCGCGAGACTCTTAAATTTTCAACGAGTTATTTCGAAACTTCCTAAACAAACTCCGACGCACACCTCGAGAAAGGGCAACAAAAGGAGGCGAGACCGAATGAAATACGAGCGCCGTTGTGATTGCCTGGCAGAAAATAGAACGTTAACAAGTGTATTTATTCGTAGGCATCGCGGCAATATATATAAAAAGATGCGTCTCATGTTCTCGCGGCATAAAGGCCAGGTGACCCGGAAGCTTCCATATTGTTAGGAGAACCGCGGAGAAAAGCTGCGAAACGAAGTTTGTCTGGGGCGTATTTAAACTTTTATTCGAAAACTTTTTAGTACCCATTCTAGCGTCAACTTAGCAGCCTGGGCGAGTTAAAGGGTCGCTTGTTTGTAAACCAGAAAGACCGTAGGACGCGACGAGGGAAGAAAACGATCGGGAAAGGTAGAGAGATAGAGCACGTTGTATCGCCGGCCTAATCGCCGAGTCAGTAGAATGCAGAAATTTGCGAGTGAAAGTGATCCAAGAGGCAAACTCGAGAGAATTAATTAAGAGACCTTTGTACAGGCCAAGTATTTAAATCGTTCTTAGTGTACCTATTGAGAATTTTCAAATACGCCTCGAAATGTTCCGTCTGGTCCAAAGAAGCCGTAACAATAAAAAAATAAGAAAAATGTGCTTATTATTTCTTACAAAAAAAGAAATTGCTAAAATAAAATTTCTATTTACTCTCTTTATTTTTCGAAAAATTATAAAAAGTTAATTCAATATCATCTCGGCATTTTTTGACTTATATGCTCGGAATTATTTCGCAAACATAGTTTTCGAGATCGCATCGACGAACGACACGCGCGGGACCGCGAACGATGGCAGTTTGAATAATCTGCACGATTATGGGTAACGAAATAAACGTCAAACCATCTTGCTACCAAGTCACGGCGAGTCTCAGAGTGGTAGAAGTAGTAGTATACAAGCCCCGTGGCGAATATCAACCTGAATTACACCCTAGGCTGATACGCACTGTGTACGGAATTATCGTGTAAGTAAAGTTTCAATCTACCTGAGACGAAGGATGCGACTCTCCCGGGATGCGCTTTTATATTTACAAAGATAAGACGCTAGCCCGCGCGCGTCGAGCATAATCTCATATTGTTGACAATATAATCGGATTAGTCGTGGCACGCGCATCTTATGGAAAGTTCGTTAAAGTGTTTGTTAAATACCATGTTGTCGAGAGAATTATTTAGTGCAGCAATAGCAAAGTAAATATAATACACATAACGACAATCAATATTTTTAGCATAATAGTACTTTCATAATTATTTGATATCTACGATTAGTATTTATAAATTCTAACGATTTTTATTAATATTTAAATATGCGAGTTAAAAATATAAATATTGTATTCGTCAATTATTTTGATAAATTCAGTGTAAAATAAATAAAATGTTTATTTTCTCGACAAGCACTGAAAAATAATACAAAATAATTTTGAAGATAATTCATAGTCATTAAATGATAGTAAAAAAAGATTGATTATATAATTTATTATAAATTTTTTAAGGAACTCGGAAGAGAGAAAGAGAGAGAAAATTGTATTTAGGTCAAGTAAAATTATGCATTAAGTGATAATCAGTTAAAACGCAAAGTGTGTAGGCGCTTTGTAGAAGATTACAGGCACTTTCTCCTCTTTTTTTCCGCCCCGAGGAGGCATTTTGTCCAATGAAACGTCCGTCGGCATCGAACGCAACAAGTTGAACTTGGCTCGTTTTCAAAGAGAGAAGCTCGTAGAATTCATCAAACCTGCGGCTGTCACATACCCGAGTGCGCGTATGTTTTCTATCCAATCTATTATAAATTGTTTCGCTCTCGAATGACGTAGCGACTAGGAACGCAGTTATGACATCGCAAAAATACACAAAACACAGAGAGTCCCTTTCATTCTTTTATTTTATTATAATTGTACGTCGGAAAAGGAAAAGTGTGAAATTATCTCAAATATTAAGCTATATATTTATTTTCAATGATTTTATATTTTTATTTCAATTATTTAAAAAATATATTTTGGGGATGTAATGATTAGAAGAATTATATTAGTTGATACAAAAGAAGAAATTCAAGTTTAATCCGGTATAAAATTTGAAGATCCGCCTACGATAGCCATGCGTTGCAAGTTGCATCACTTTATCGCAATGTTGGTTAAATTTCCATCATCGCGCGCAATTTCGCTGCTACGGCGCCTTGTATGGTGTAGAATAGCGTGCATAATATTACACGATAAAATCAAATGCAGGGGCGAGAGCACGGGAGAAAGGAGGGACAGAGGGAGCGAGAGGGGACACGCTGGATTATTGGCGGATGTAAAAAAAAAAAAAGAAAAAGAAAAAGAAAGCAAACGGAGAGTGCCTGGGTTAGATGAGAAAGGTCCTAATCTATTTTCAGGACGACCGAGCACGCCACCGCCAGCAAAAAAGCTGACCACCGTGTGGCCTTCCTCGCACAACCCCTACTATCCGAAAAGGACAGAGAGACCACCTCCACCGAGTGAGGAGAGGGTTGAGAGGCCCGAGCAGAAACTACGTGGTGGCGAAAGTACAGGTGAGGCTTGCATTCTCTCACCAGGCCCTCCCTGCTCTTTCCCGTTTTTTTCTCTAATTATCTCGCGACTGCCATTTCAAGCGCCCCTTTCATTCGCGTCCTTGCTTCATTCGACCTCGACCATTCCTCTGCTTTCGCGGCACTAACCCGGTTTCTGAAATATGATTTGAGCAATATCATGCGCTATTCTGCACCATGCACCCCGTGTACGCAGGCCGAAAATCGCGAAAATCGTAAATCGTATTGTGCATCTCGGGATAAGCCATCGGTAGAACGGCGCACGAAATTTATCACTGTCGGGAATAAACGCGGGAGAGTAATTGTAATATTAATAATTTACATAAGAGTGAAAGGACTGAAAGAAAATTGTAGCTATGACGGAGAAATATATCTGTGTCCTTAAAAGTACAGCCAAGAAGAATGCTAGAAAAATGGAGATGTATATCTTTTCTTTAAGATGCAGTTATTTCATATATGCTCACGTTCGCTATGTTCATGGAACTGAAAAAGAGATGTATCTCTATCCGACAGTATTGACTATACACTTTACGGGCACTGGAAATATATGGGATGCGTTCTCCAGATATATTGAAAAATATTTCGAGAAAATTAATGGATTCACTCTCTCTCTCTCTTTCCTCCCTCTCATCTTTCTCTCTCTAAATTTAATTTTATAACAGTTTACAATGATATATAAAAATAAAAAGATTTTTAAGAATTAAAGCTTTATATTAAAAATGTAAAAATCACATTAATACACATTGCACAAAAAACTCGTACAAAATTTATGTTGTATAAAATATGTTCATAAATCATAAAGATTTGTAAACACAATCTCATCAAAAGTAATTAACAATGCTTCCTCAATTATTAATTATCTCGATTATCTTAATTATTAATTCCTCCAAATTCATAAAAATATACACAATATATCAATTGTCTTTCTCATCTTTAAGCATTTTTTAAAATAGACATGTTTATTACGATGTTATTAATAATTTTGCACGTTTCTTTCAGCTATTTCTAAGTTTTTACTATTCTTGTGTTATTATTTTAATGAGGATTTTTTAAATTCAATTTTTAAAAATTTTAATTTCAAATTTCATGCAAAAATTTGTCTAATAAAATAATCTGGAGATTATTTTAGAAAATTCGCAGACTTGATTTGCACTTTGATATTTGCAAAATATATGCAACACCAAAATATAACATAAAGTATAATAATCTTAAAATATATTTGCCATTTATGCTGAAATATTAACAAATATTAAAAATATACAATTATAAAAGATTTCTGTCATACATTTTGCATAGTTTTCTTTTTTATTTTTGTAACAATTTGCATATGGCTGCGTATGACTAGATTCAATTTAATTATAATTTGTTATAAAAATAATTATCTGCTTTTTAGGATTCGAGACATCGATTATTCACAAATTTTTTTATCTCAATACAAACATAACGAGCACGTTCTTATCGTTTTATATCTTGTAGTTATACCTCCCTCGATGCTATGATAGGATGAGGCAATCGTGCCTGCCTTGACGAAGCTCGAAATAGACGAATAGGTGCTCCGATCGTTAACGAGATAACGAGCTTTAGCGAAATGGCCTGAGAAACCATTTCGTTGCTATTAAATTCAGGCTGGAAACGTAGCATGCCAGAACGGAACCTCTAATAAGATGTTTACTCCTTAATAACCAATATAGGGCATTGTAGTTGTGCTACCTGCTAATAAATAATACGCTATAATTTAGTAATAATTCTTGTTTGGCTAATTTTGTTATTTGGTTAATTTTGCATTATCTTTTTTTCTTTAGAGCTATTTTATTTCAATGATTAATCAAAATTCAAAAGAAGATGATTTAGATTTTTCTTCTGAAATGCAGGATTATTGCCATTCAAATTCCATAAATAGCTTTGAAAGTGCAGAATATTTTCGTCAAAGATTTTCTTGTATTTCCTGTATTTTTTTATAAGTTTTCTGGAAAATTGAAAATTTCGAGACAGAAGCAAAACAAAAGCGAAACAAAAATCAATGGCGGATTAATTAAATTCGATAAGATTAATTCCGCCTTGAAATAAATTGCACGAAATCAATTTCGAGCGCAAAAAAAATGATCTTCATGCAGTACTGTACTCATGGTATAGTGCGTATCGTCACGTGCGCAGATATATTAAGCCAAGTAACGAGTGTCAATTTTCATTGTAACATTTGTTACTTTGTTATTGCAATACAAACGACCACGCGTGCACCATCCATAACAAAATCTCTAGGGTGTTATTACACGGCAAATGCGTGTCAACTATGAAGCATTGCATGTGCGTCTGCCATTTGTTTTCATTCATTAGGGGCTGTTAGCAACGCAATAAATTACTTCATCAAGACAAGGCAGGCCGCTAAATCATAAAAGTCTCGGAAGCGTCATAATTTTTATAAGATCATTGACATTATCAAAATCATTTTTTAAGAAATATACTTCTCTATTTTATCTTACAGAAATAATTGAGAAATTTAATATGAGAAAGAGGGAGGAAAATTAGTTCATTTTTTTATGGAAAATGAAAGTTTAGTGTCTTGTATATTTCAGTCGTTTGTAGTAAGTTAATAGTATTATTATGAAAATGTTATTACAAACTTACCATTTTAATGTGCAAAATTTATTATTATTTATTTACACACGATTTATTATAATGTTATCCTTTATATAAAATTAATCGAAAAATCGCAGATAAATCATCAAGACGTGAACAACACGGCCCAGTTTTACAAAATAGCTCGCAGCACAAAGCATGTCCACTATACGATAGACTGATTAACATATTTTGATAGGCGAAATATATCAAGTTTTATCTTGAACCGATAAATTCCGATACGCGATGGTAAATTGAAAGAAAAATTAAAAAGAAATCCAATGTAATCCAATCCTTGAATATATTTTATTTTTGCATTAGTTATGACTTATTAATTTTTTATACTCGTTTTACAAATCTTTCGAAGGAATAGGAACAAGAAGACACTTATAAAAAGAGATATATAATAGAAGGCATTATAGAATTGTATCGTCTAACTTTCTGAAGAATCACGAAATATGCAAGGAAATGAAAGTGGCCCGTAAAGCGAGGCGCATATCAAAATCTTTATTTTACAAATGCCTTATTGATAGAGCGAATCGTCGATACGGGCGTTGCATTCGACGGAAAAATACAACAATAAAAGTGGCACGATCCTGTGGTTGCATGTCGAGGCGGCGGACTTCAATTTATTCATGCACCGCTTTTGTACAACGCATTAAAGATGCAGCAATGACCTCTATTCCCAACACGGCGGCGCTCTCGCGCAGCGGAGACCCGTGCTATATTTCACTGCGTTTTTCTACGGCTTTTCTCTGTTGTTACCATCGCGCTCTACCGTCGTGAATATTTAATCTAATAAAATAGTGAAATAAGTCCGCGCCAGGAGCGCCGCCTCGCGCCAGCACGTGCGCCAGTTTTCTTACGATCGGTTGCAGCTGCAAGTGCAGCAGGCTTCGTCGCGACGTAGGGCACGATGGAGGAATATTGCTCCACATCGGGGAATTTTTCGCGAAAATTTGTATTCCGCTGACCGATCTCTCTCCGCAGATCCATCTTTCGGATTGTTTATCAGCAAGATAATCCAAATAGTTATTATTTTTCAAGAGTGATGATTCGATTAATATCGAATTTTCCTCACGGGGCATCCGTTAGACTCGTATAGATAATACAAAAATCTATTTTATTTAAAATATATAGATAATATAAAAATATATTTTATTTTTAAAAATCTCTTTTTCAAAATTCATAAGGTGACAGAAGAAAAGAATGCAATAATAATGAATTAGATTTATATTTTTAATTCAAAAGATGCATGTTTTTTCTTTCACATAAAAATCTCGCATATTTTTTGTTTACTCTTATTTTTGTTTAAATTTGTATATTTTTAAGATGAGTCTTGTTTAAATCAAAGCTGCAAAATAATCTCCCATTCGATATGCTCATGCATTCTAATTATTAATTGCATCGCCAATCGCTAAAGTCGCATCGTAGACGGAATAATTGAATTTGCGATAAGAGGCAAATACATGAGATATTGGGTAGGGTGCTAATTCCGGCCTGAATAAATGTCAGTATCAGACGGTTCATAACGATTAGCAAACATCGGCGTCGTATAACGACATCATGATATCGTATATAGAGTGTTCCAAAATTACTCGTGCGTCATTTCATCTGTAAATCTTAGATGGGTCTTAAATAGATTTAGTAAATTTCTTTAAAGAAAACTTAATTTCTCTCAATTTTATATCTCCCTAATTTAAATTAAATCCTAAATTTAATTTAGAATTTCTACTCGATATTAAATAAAAAAGTGTTATTTATTTCCTTAAATTATGCTTGAAAGAGAACTTTTTTAGATCTCTTTAAAAAAGGAGAGAGAAAGTTAAGCAAGAAAATGTTGCAACGTGTATATTTTAAGGAATATTGGAAAAAGAGTCCTTTTCGGGAAAGAGGAACGTGCGATGGAGAATTTGGAGCACCCTGTGTACGATGCGTTCACACAAGGATACGCATTCATGCTCTCGTATCTGTTGTCCTGAAATATGCATGGGCATCTCTTAGTACGTTTAGGAGGAAATTACGTAGGAACAACACGCGCGGCCTCCATAGCATCCTGTTAATATTAAGTATGCCTCCTCCGCATTATCCTCAGGTACTAGATACTGCCAGGCGTAGCCACCTGCCAGTAGTTGTGCTTTTAGTTGAGCGCGCCTCGACGTACAAAGATACGCATGAATGCGTTAGCCGGCAACAAGTCTACATGGAAACTAGCGAAACTTAAAGCTTGAAATATATATTTGGCTATCGGAAAGATTAGCGGAATAAATTTTATTCAATTTGATAAAATGAATATTTTCGCGTACAACAATACACTTTTTTCAAAATTTTATATTCTAATTAAAAATGAATTCTATCAATACAACTGATAAATATAAACTTTATCCAATTTTTTAGCAATTTTCTTGCAAGGATTGAATCCTTTGTATGTGATATTATTTCAATAGAATATTTAATATTTTTTTAAGTCGATTCTAATATAACTCTCCAAATAATGTAAAGACCAGTGCAACCATTCAAGAATTAAATTAAGAGCATTGGCATTTCAGGAAAGTTAACAACACGTGTAGGATATGAAAGGATATAAACGTGTTATTAAAACGATAATGTGTTCCCAGAACTTTCTACGATTGCGAACTGGGTGTGGCTTATAATGTTTATTCTTAGTAATTTCATTTATTAACTCAATTAGCTGTTATATTATTACAGTAAATAATTTCAAACAAATATTGTTTCTCGAATTAATCAGTCACATATATTTACATATATTGAATATTTAAATTTTTAAATTAAGAAAATTCACAAAAATACTGAAACGTTATTATAGTAATTATTTTTATATTAAAAAAGTTAAAAAAGAAAGAAAAAAAGAGCAGAATCATTAAGAGTATTTTTTTTGCCCTCAGGATT